TATAACCAATAATTCAATATATATTCTTTGTTCTTTATCAAATCTTGATAGTTGAAACCCTTGTTTTTATATATAAATGATAAATGTCACTTGATGACAGGTTCATGAAGGAACAACTGCTCTCGGAAGTCCTTGAGGCCCTTATTGTCGTTAGGGGATTAATAGTGCAGAAAACAAAGCTGATAAGTGATTGCAGTCGACTTTTAAAGGATCTTCTTGATAGTCTTTTGCTGGAAAGTGCTGAAAATAAAAAACATTTCATCCAGGCATGCATTCGTGGTTTGCAGACTCATGGGGAGGATAAAAGAGGGCGATCTAATTTGGTATGTAAAAGCTACTGTTTATCCTGGCATTTTATTCTGTTTGATTCATTCACAAGTAAAATTGCAATGACTTCTTCTGCAGTTCATATTGGAGCAACTTTGTAACCTGATATGCCCATCAAAACCCGAAGCTGTATACCATTTGATACTAAACAAGGCACACACGCAAGAAGAGTTCATCCGTGGTTCAATGACCAAAAATCCTTATTCAAGTGCTGAAATAGGTCCATTAATGCGTGATGTTAAAAACAAAATTTGTAACCAGTTGGATCTTTTAGGTCTTATTGAGGATGATTATGGTATGGAACTTCTAGTAGCTGGAAACATAATCTCCCTTGATTTAAGCATCGCCCAAGTTTATGAACAAGTCTGGAAAAAGTCAAGTAGTCAATCCACAAACGCACTTGCTGCTGCCACATTGCTTTCTTCCAACGCTGCCACGTCAGCAAGAGATTCTCCTCCCATGACAGTGACCTACAGACTTCAGGTTTATTATTTTTTTTCACAACTTACTATTCTCTATTTGCCAAAGTAGATTATTGCTATTTTCTCCATTTAAATGCTTGTTGGCTATTAACAGGGGTTAGATGGTGAAGCTACTGAACCAATGATTAAAGAATTGGATGAGGACAGAGAAGAGTCCCAAGATCCTGAAGTTGAGTTTGCTATAGCAGGGGCAGTTCGGGAATGTGGCGGGTTGGAAATTTTATTGGATATTGTTCAGGTATGAATAATATTCTGTGCTTAAATGCACGACTTTTTAGCACATTCTAAATTTCTAATTTCAATTTTTTTTTATTGTTGAAGCGTTTGCGAGATGATTTGAAGTCAAACCAGGAGCAATTAGTGGCTGTTTTGAATCTGTTAATGCACTGCTGCAAAATAAGGGGAAACAGAACAGCTTTATTGAAACTTGGAGCTTTAAGCCTACTCCTTGAAATCGCAAGACGTGCGTTTTCTGTTGATGCCATTGAGCCAGCTGAAGGAATTCTTCTAATTGTAGAAAGTTTAACAATGGAAGCCAACGAAAGTGACAATATCAACATTACCCAAAACGCCCTCACTGTTTCCAACGAAGAAGCTGGTGCTGGCGAGCAAGCCAAGAAGATAGTCCTCATGTTCCTGGAGAGACTGTCGTACCCACTAGGGGTAAAAAAGTCAAGCAAACAACAGAGAAACACCGAGATGGTTGCTAGAATTTTACCTTACTTGACTTACGGTGAACCCGCTGCAATGGAAGCACTCGTGCAACACTTCGATCCTTTCTTAAAGAACTGGGTCGAATTCGACACTTTGCAGAAACAACATGCGGAAAATCCCAAGGACGAAACCGTCTTTTTACAAGCATCGAAACAGAGATTCGCGGTTGAGAATTTCGTTAGGGTTTCCGAATCAATGAAGACGAGCTCTTGCGGGGAGAGACTAAAAGACATCATACTGGAAACCAAAATTACCGAATCTGCAGTTAGACATTTAAAGGACAGTTTCGCTTTCACTGGGGAATCTGGATTCCGGTCTAGACCGGAATGGGGTTCCGGTTTAAAACTTCCATCCGTTCCTCTCATTCTCTCAATGCTCAGAGGGCTTTCAATGGGACACCTGGCGACACAGAAGTGCATCGATGAAGGAGCGATATTACCTTTACTACACGCCTTGGAAGGTGTAGCGGGAGAAAACGAAATTGGAGCAAGAGCTGAAAACTTGTTGGATACAATTTCAGATAAAGAAGGAAAAGGCGACGGCTTCCTTGCTGAGAAAGTCAGCGCTTTACGCCATGCCACGCGAGACGAAATGAAACGACTCGCGCTAATGAAAAGAAAGGACGTGCTCCAGGTAAATTTCTTCTCTTGTTACTTTTCGTATCCATTTTTTTTTTGAAGGAAATAAATCTGAAAATTTGTTAAAACAGACGCTTGGGATGCAAGAAGAAATGGCATCTGATGGTGGGAAACGAATCGTTGTATCTCAACCGCTTCTAGAAGGCTTAGAAGAAATGGAAGAAGAGGAAGAGGGTTTAGCTTGCATGGTATGCCGAGAAGGATACAGTCTAAGACCAAACGACTTACTCGGCGTTTACACCTTCAGCAAAAGGGTAAACCTTGGTGTCGGGAGTAGCACTTCAGGAGGAAGCAGCAGCACACGTGGCGATTGTGTCTACACAAGTGTCAGCCATTTCAACATCATACATTTCCAATGTCACCAAGAGGCTAAACGAGCCGATGCTGCTTTAAAAACCCCCAAAAAGGAATGGGATGGAGCTGCCCTTAGAAACAACGAGACACTTTGCAATAATCTCTTCCCCTTAAAGGGTCCCGCAGTTCCAGTGGCACAATACACTCGCTATGTTGACCAGTACTGGGATTACCTTAACGCCCTTGGTCGTGCTGATGGAAGCCGACTTCGCTTGTTGACTTATGATATTGTTCTGGTATGTACTAATACTATGTAACATTGTAGTATAAATTGTAACGTTTAATTTTATTTTTTAATTTCATTTATGTTTTTGCACAGATGCTTGCGAGATTTGCAACAGGAGCATCATTCAGCACAGACAGCCGAGGCGGAGGAAAAGAAAGCAACGCGAAATTCCTCCCGTTCATGATCCAAATGGCGCGTTACCTCCTCGACCACGACCCTTCCCAACGCCACAACCTTGCAAAATCCGTAGCATCTTATCTCGCGTCCTCCACACCGGATTCCAAATCCCCACCACCTACCACCGCCACTGAAGAAACCGTCCAGTTCATGATGGTGACTTCCCTTTTATCGGAATCCCACGAGTCCTGGCTCCAACACCGCCGCACGTTCCTCCAACGCGGTATCTACCACGCCTACATGCAACGGACCCACTCCCGGTCAACCCACCGCCCGCCAACCGCCGCCAAACCGGAGGAGCTACTGGCCATCATCCAGCCCATGTTGGTGTACACGGGGTTGATCGAACAGTTGCAGAGGTATTTCAAGGTTGAAAAGAAAAAGGATTTGCTGGAGAAGAGTAATAGTAATAGTAATGAGAAGGATTTGGAGAGGTGGGAGGTGGTGATGAAGGAGAGATTAGTGAATGTGAAGGATTTGGTGGGATTTTCAAAAGAGATGTTGTCGTGGTTGGATGATATGACTTCTGTTGCTGATTTACAGGAGGCGTTTGATGTCATCGGTGTGTTGGCTGATGTCATGTCATCTGGTAAGTGTGAGGATTTCGTGTATGCTGCTATTGATGCTGGGAAAGGCTAGTTTCGTAAATTTCCATCAAAGTTTTGACTTGTTATGTGTGTTGTTTGTTGTGGGGGTCTTGAAATACATACATACTTTCACCTTATTTGTAGCTTTGTGTGGTGAATAATATTTTTGAAGATTTGTAAGAATAGTCCAACAAGTTAAGGAAAAGTTACTTGAATGAAAGCTAAAATTAAAAAGTTATTTTTAATGCTGATTTTATCTTTGGTGATTTAATAAAATGGAATTTAAAGGTGTAGACTAGAACAGACTTTTTCTTGTGACGATTATTTATAAAATAGCATTTATTTTTTTTAAAATAAGTGGATATGAAAACTTGCATACATGCCGTTGACCAGTTGACGATAAAACATTGTTTAAATCAACTTGTATTTATGCATAGTCGTGGAAGAAAGTACTATATGATGGTTACTGGTGATTGAGACAATGAGATTTATGTAATTTCGTTATACCAAGGGAATGGAGCAAGTGGCTAAACTTTTAATGGATGCAAACGACGTTTCAACCGATCATTTTGGAGAATTAGGTATAGCATGTGCTGTGATAGTTTCTACTTTATGCATCATTCCAACATTCCAACATTCAACGTGATTTATCTTCTTTAATAAACCATCTTTTTTCTTAAAAAAAGTTATGTAATGGGGCCCATGCAAGCATTATATAGAATGAAGCATTATATAAAATGAAGCATTATATAAGCAAATTTAGATTTTAGATTTTTCTACCTTTTTAGAATGAAAATAGGCTTTTAAATATTTTTCAATCATACTACCGAATTCCGATTCTACATTTATCAACATTTAGGGAAATGGTATGTAAAATCCGTAAATTGAAGTCAATATGTATTTTGCTATGGTAACAACATATATATCTTTAATATATAAGGAAGTGGTATGTAGATTGATATTAGAATAAGTATTTTTATTTTTTTAACGACTCAAGTGGAAAGTGTGCGGGATACTAATCTTTTACATAAATTGTTATCGACTAATAATTAAATACTATCATTTGTTCTAGTTTTAGGCTTATCAGAGTGACACTTTTCCATGATTGTTGCTTTATGATCGTCGTATCACCAGGTCTCTTCAAATTATAAATAAACGGAGGAGAATTTATATCTCGATAATATATGGTATAGTACATGATATAACTATTTTGAGATTGGTCCAAATCTTTTTTACAATTTCTTTTAGTAGCATGAGATAGTCATCTTGAGACGGTCCAAATCTTTTTTTACAGATTTTTTCAATTTTTTTTTTTTTTTAATTTTTTTTATTTTAAAACTTAGTGTTTAAAAAAATATTTTTTTAAAACTTTTTTCAATTTTTTTTATATATTTATTTTAATAAAGTTATTTTTCTTTACAGATTTACAAAGAATGAGTTGACTTTGACTTCTATTTACAAACTTTGTCCTTATATTATTTATGATTTTCAGCCACTTACATTTACAGATTTCTAGTGTGAGTTTCATTTCTCGTTTTCTACTATAAATCGAGTTAAAAGAAAAAAATAATTGTAAGCACCTCACTTCACTAAAATAATGTATTCGTAGATCTTATTAACATGTAACCACCTTCTTGGCATGGAATAAAGTCATAAACACTGGCCACAATCATTAATTAAACAAATTGTACACCCGCTCCGGCCTCCGGCGGTAGTAGTCTTTGGTTGAATTAGTTTTTTGTTTTCACAAAACCCAAATTGGAAATTTCAATTTGTCTTAATCTTTGGTCCTTGGTAGACTTCGACTTCTTTACTTCTTTACTTCCTTCATCTCTACTAAAGTATTCCCATTTCAACCAAAACCCACTCGACTCGGTCTTGTTTCTTGATCAACTTTTTCTCCATAATCCACTGTAGAAACTGATCTCCCTCGCTCTACAAAAAGGTAAACATTCATCCATTTTTCTTATGTGATTGATATTGTGTTTGCTACTTGGTGTTCACCGCTTGATTTGTAGTAATTGGGTGTTTTTTTTGGAAGTGGGTTTATTGATTCGCGAGGTTTTTAGAAGAAAACAATTCAATTTGATTCGGCAGCGGGTGAGAGGATCACGAATCACCCAAGGAAACTTGGGTTCCTTAGATTCACACGTCCTTGAAAAATTTCTTGTTCGGCTGTTTATTATGTGTTGGTTAACCTTTAATGATCTGTTCAGTTCATGTTGCTTTGAAGCTCTACCTTGTGACGATTTAGGGTTCTTTGCCACCTCCAGTTACCCCCTTTTGCCGATAAGCATTTGAATAGTGGTGTTGACTACTGCATAAATTGACGATTTCTTGCCTGAATCACATTGTATACCATTGTCTAAATCATAATATCTGATATTCATCTGGAACGAACACCGATCTTCATTTCTGTGATTCAACACATAAATTTTTGTTACATAAAATACATTTCGATGATATTAATTTGGGTTGACAAAATTATATTATTTTCGTAATTATTAAAGGGTATTTTAGACATTTGACAGATCTTGTAGACCTCCCTCAGTTATCTCTTGTGTCACATAAGTGTTGATGCCCCCAAAGCAAACTCAATCTACTATAAAACAAAACAAATAACTGAATAAGTCCAAAACAAAACTGCTTTAGGGGAAAAGCTCACAATTTTTTTACCATTATACCCTTTCCTGTGTAGATAATTTAACTATATAATATACCATTGTTATGTCTCAGAACTTGAAGACATTTGTTGCAAGATGTTCTCATTGATGCTACAAAGAGATAGAAAACATGGTTCACAAAGCTGATTTAGTGATCATTGGAATCTGTGTTGGTGTAGCTGTTGGCATACTTATAGCATCACTTGCATTCTTTGGTATAAGATGGTATAAAAGGCGGGCCCACCTTACAAAATGTGCAAATGATCATAATGCTTCAACTCTTCCTATACGTAGAAATGGTGTGGATACAAGTAATATTTTGAGTGAATCTTTTTCTACAAATTCAGTGAGTGTTAAAGTATCGACTTATCCTGTAAAAACTTCTCCTCTTGCTAAATGGAATAAGAATGGTAAAGAACAGTTGGCTTCAGCTTCAGGCCTACCAAGATACTCTTACAAGTATGTTCTTTTTTCAAACTTTAATCTTATGAATTCTTTAAATTGCAAAAAGAAACATGTTACATGATGCAAGAATGAAAAGTTTTGGATAAAAAGTGTCGAGTAGGGTTTTTTTGTGCATTTTAAATGTGCCTAAAGTCGTTTATTATTGTAAGATATATTAAAAGCTGTGTAAAGGTAATTTGAAAATTAGTACTCAGAAAAAAGAAAGAAAAGGATTATTTTATAATACATTTTGGGCATGTTTGGTTCGTGGATTGTGATGGAATTGGAATCTGAGATTCCATTCCAAGGTTTGTTTAGTTGCCAAATAGATGGAATTCAATTCTGTTTTGAATTTTTTACAAATTTCATGTTTGATTGGGAGGGTGGGAGGAAGTCGATTCTAGTTTTTCTTTTTTATTGAAAGACCAAAATGCCCTCTTTATATATTGAAATTAATTAAAATATAGAGTTCTATTATATATATATATATATATATATATATATATATATTTAAAGTAAAGTGATAAACAATAAGTATTTAAACTTAAATAATTTTTTTTTATTGAAAGACCAAAATACCCTCTTTAGAAATACGTTTATTGAGGTTGTATTACTTTTCAGAGACTTACAAAAAGCTACAAAAAACTTTACAACCATTTTGGGACAAGGGTCTTTTGGTCCAGTATATAAAGCTACAATGCCTGCTGGTGAAGTTGTTGCTGTAAAGGCTCTTGCTTCTGATTCCAAACAAGGGGAGAAAGAATTTCAAACTGAGGTAACCACATGTCAAATTACCTTTATGCCCTTTTTGCAAGATCTAAACACATGTATGTTTCACTTTCACCTAGCTGACTGAAATAGTTAATGGCTACTAATCGAATTATATATCTCATGTCATTGATTAATTATGAGAAATCTTCTTTTGATTCAATTTCCTTTATTAATTTATAAAAGACCATAGGAAGGCCACTTTCCAAAAATATTTAAAAAATGGAAGTTTAATTTTCTTGGTGGTGGTTGCAGGTTTCTCTTTTGGGAAGGTTGCATCATAGAAACTTGGTGAATCTTGTGGGGTATTGTGTAGATAAAGGACAACGGATGTTAATATATGAATATATGAGTAATGGAAGCTTGTCAAGTTTTCTATATGGTATGTAAAATCACTCGTTTCTTGTTGCTTTTTACCAAAATGCCCATAAAAAATAAATGCTTTTCTAATACAATGTTTATGTTTCACTTTTTACCAATTCATACAACAAAATGGCTCTTTTTATAAGAAATATGCAACAAAGTTTAATTGTAGGACCAAAAGATTCAATATTTTATGTTACCCATAAATAAATTGGTAAAAAAAGTCATCATTGTTGCATAAGTAACCATTTTTAATTCCTAGAATGAAACGTGGTTACATATTTCGTCTGAAAACCACTTTGTTTCCTAAATTGGGAAAAAAGATGAAACATTGTTGAATAAATACACATTTAACCCTTTGAATATCTACATCATCTACTTGTGTTGTGTGATACTAAATTAAGGAACCTTTGGTGTGTAAAACCATACATAGATGATAAGAAGCAGGCGTTGAATTGGGAAGAAAGACTTCAAATTGCCCTTGATATTTCACATGGAATAGAGTACCTTCATGATGGGGTTTGTTTTTTTATTAGTATTATTATTTTGTGGTTTATATATCTTCAACAATGGACTCACTCACATTCATATCTTCATCTTGAGCACAGGCAGTTCCACCTGTCATACATCGAGACTTGAAGTCTGCAAATATATTGCTCGATCACTTCATGAGAGCCAAGGTGAGATCTCAATCTCAGCTTGTATTTCCGTAACTAAGGGTACAATGGTCATTTAGTGTATACATGCATCCCCTAAAGTGATGTCTAGATAAAAGATGTTTAAAAACTATTTGAGAAAACAACTACACACTTAGAGAAATGGAAGTAAAGTAAATAAACAAAGGCCAAATTTGGAATAAGTTAGGAGTTAAAGCCTCAATTTGTTTTTGTATTGTTGAAAATGGGTGAGATATTTGACATGAAAATGTAAAAGTAAATAATAGGTTGCAGATTTTGGGCTATCAAAAGAAGAGGTGTATGATGGAAGAAACTCGGGGCTTAAAGGCACATACGGATACATCGATCCTATGTATATTTCCACAAACAAGTTCACAATGAAGAGTGACATCTACAGTTTTGGAATCATTTTATTTGAACTCATCACTGCTATTCATCCACAACAAAATCTCATGGAATATGTCAATCTAGTAAGCTAATACTCCTAAATTCCTAATCTTTCAACACTTTTAATTAGTTCTTAGGGTGTGTTTTCTTGTTATTAAATCTTCTTCTTCTTTTTTTTAAAAAAAAAAAAAAATGAAAAAGGCAGCAATGAGTTCAGATGGGGTGGATGAGATCCTCGACAAGGCACTTGTAGGGGAGTGTGATCCAGTGGATGTGAGGAGCATGGCAAGAATAGCACACAGATGTTTGCATAAGACACCAAGAAAAAGGCCTTCAATTGGAGAGGTTTCACAGGCCATTACAAAGCTCAAACAGAGGCGTTTGGTTAGGGAAGATAGTACGATGTCATTTGCAGCCGAAGAGTTTTCCGGGGTCGTTGGGTGCATAGAGTTACAACAAAATGAATTGAAGAAGATGACAAGTATAGCTGAATCTTGAAAGATTCTTGTTTCTGGATGTAGTAAGCTTGTTGTGATTTGTGACACTATATATATATATATATATATATAGTGGAAAGATACATGGTTTAATGGCAAAAATGCTATAGATATTTTTATCATTTTATTAATACATACAAAAAGTTTTATGTTAAAATTGCAACAAACTTTTTCTTTTACTCCATTTAGTGGAATAACCTTATCGTTATAAATATGAGCTGCATTACATGATGGATAGTGCTCAAGTTTTTCATGATGTTTCTGTGTAGGTCAATTATTTTGTTTCAACTAAGATTGCTGGTTTGGTGATTATTTGTAACCATGTGCTTACTGCAAGATATTAATCTTATCCCATGAGAAATACAATGTTAATACCTGAGTAGTACAATAATGTACAATCAAATACACGCACAAACTAAAATTAAAGCTAAAATATTAATCTCTAATTCAAACAAATACATTACCCATAAGGGTGATTTCTTCTATCGTTCCCACCCACAACACATAAAAATAATATATTTTTCAACCCATTCAATTAAAAACATACAAAACAATATATAGTACAAGTCCTTAAACATTTATTGAGAGAGAGAGAGAGAGGGAGAGGGAGAGGGAGCCCTCCTTTGGTCTTGCCTCCTCGGATCGGTCACATAGGCGGTACCGTTGTTAGCCTGCAGGAGCCCAAGCATTACTCCGTCCACTCTAAGTGCTAACATGCCTCCTATAGTTTGAGTCGAGGAAGCTCAATGCTAAACTGGATCAAAGTGAGTAACTAAACAAGTGTCAAAGAGAATCCGTCAGTGAAAATGTCAACGTACTATTACTCAACTAAAACATGAAGGATTCAAAGTGTAAGAACCTAAAATTTGGAGAGATTTGACTTTTAGTCAAATATTGACCAAAAGGGGCACAATGGTCATTAATGGGAATTTAGAAGATTTATGAAGTTGTGACTTCATGAAAATGGTCAAGATGAATTTAAGTCACTTAGATGATATAAGATGAGTAAGTTCAAAAGAATAAATGCATGAAAAGATGCATTTTAGCCAAAAGGGTAAAATGATAAATTTTATGTTTTTGGGCAAACTTTGCGAATTAACAGATTAAGACCCGTATTAAGTCAATAAGAAGTGGCTTAACAGGATTGTAAAGTGTAACAATGTGAATTTTCAAAACAAAAATTTCATTTCTTAAAATATGGTTTCATCCAAAACAAGCCATAAAATCCAATGTATCATAATCATAGTACAAATATGTCAAATCCCAAGATCATAAAATAAATCTTCCATCAGTGTGTACAGATCATGCCAACGCCTTCCCACGGTCCTCGCTAGTACCTAAAACACATAACACAACAACTGTAAGCATAAATGCTTAGTGAGTTCCCCAAAATACCACTTACATGCATACGCCCTTCCAGGCCATGACCTTCCGGTCCATGTGTCTCAGGGGACTTCCATCCCAACCCGGTAAACCTTCCGGTCCACATCACAATGCCTTCCGGCCCATAACATATTGCCTTCCGGCCCATAACAAACATAGCATACATAGCACATACAAACGGTTAACTTAATCACATACAATGCATACAACTTATAACATATCCGACCTTCCGGTCACACATAGACACCCTTCCGGGTACAGTATAGTGAGAAGACTCACCTCTGATATCTCGGTAAATCACTGACTCGGTAGGAATGCGATCTAGCCTCCGCCTAAACACATAAGACAAATAATCCCATAAATATAACTGTACTCTAACCTTTCTTAACATCTTCAGAAGGGTCAAAGACCATTTTACCCCTCTTCTGACTCAAAGGCCTCGCTGCTGACCAAACCCTAAAAGTCAACCAAAGTCAACGGTCAAACTTTGACCCGAATCGGCGAGTGCACTTGGGCAACTCGGCGAGTCCACCTGTCTCCACTTAACTCCTTAGTCCCATTTAACATGTCGAGTCCCTTCCTTTACTCGACGAGTCCCCAGGCATTAATCGCGGGGCTACCTTGACTCAACTCGCCGAGTCCCAAGAACAACTCGGCGAGTACATGCCATGCACAAATTCTTTTGACCTCCTGAGGTCAGATCAGTTCCTCAATTCCATAGATCTGACCTTCCCAATCAATATAATCACGTAAAGCTCGAAACTTGATGCTTAAAAACATACATAATGGCATCAAATGGAGATTTAGTCCCAAAAATGGCAACCTAAGTCCAATCACCCCTCAAGGACCCATAAAGCATACTGGATTGAAGTCTATGAACCTCTTTGAGTCCAGATCCAAAGCATAGACTCGATAAGAGACCAATTGCTCCACATAAACATCCTCACAAGAGGTTAGAAAACCCTAATCTCTAAGTTCAATACTAAAACTGAAGAAGGTTCGAATGAATACCTCAAGTTGGAATCTCTGGACTCTGAAACCACTTGAATCACACCTCCTTCAGCCTCCTCTTGCTCTTGATCACCTTCTTTTTGCCAAGCCAAGGAAAGAAAGATCAGTAAAGGCTTCTCCTTCGTTCCAAACGATATAGATCACTAAGGGTGCTCTCAAGGGACTGGTAGCCGCAATGGGAGGCTAAGAGTACCCTTAAATAGGCTCTAACCCCGGAGGATTAGGGTTTCATTAAACAGCGTGGACTTGTCGAGTCCACTCATGGACTCGCTGAGTCTAATGCGAACCAGATGAACGATCACGACCCTACTCGGCGAGTCTACGCATCAACTCGTCGAGTTCCTTCTCATAATTAAAAAAAAAATACATATTGAATAATATACCTGGGATTCCGGATGTTACAATTCTCCCCCACTAGAATCAGACTTCGTCCTCGAAGTCTCATTCTACAAACAATTCAGGATGCTGCTCACGCATCTCACGCTCCGGCTCCCAAGTCAGCTCTGACCCCTTCCTGCGCTGCCACTGCACTTGCACCAAAGGCACTTGTAACATCCGGGATTTCAGGTATATTAATTAATCTTTTTATTTTGAGTTTTGTGGAAGGACTCGGCGAGTTGGTGTGTAGACTCGCCGAGTTGAGACGCGGTTTTTCACCCGGATTGATGCCCGGACTTGGCGAGTCGCCTTGGTGGACTCGGCGAGTCTGCGCTGTTTAATGAAACCCTAATTTCTCGGGTTTGAGGCCTATTTAAAGGGCCTTATGGCCGTCATTTGCACTCATTAGCCCCCTGAGTGAAACCCTAGAGCATTTGAGTGATTCAAGTAAGGGAAGGAGCCATTGTTGATTCTTGGAGTTGTTGTCTAGCAAGGGAAGAGGAGATCTAGCCAAGAGGAAGCAAGAGAGGGGTGGATTATTGAAGAACTAAGGTCCAGGACATCACATCTGAAGTACCATTCGAATTCTTCCTTGTATTTGTGATGTTCATATAGATTTAGGGTTTTTGAACCCATTTGTGGCTAGGTCTAGTATCCTCATAGTTCTTTGGTGAGTTATGGCTCTGAATCTGGACCCATAGAGGTCCAAAGCACCTCTTTGCCCAAGATTTATGTGCATCCATGGAGGTTTTGGGTTGAGATCAATGTATTTGAGGCTAAAACTCCATTAATGAGCTAGTCGATGCTTAATGAACACCAAGACTTGGACTTTACGTGGTAAATAAACTTAAGGGGACTGGATCTATGGGTTACTAGAGTGGATCTGACCTTAGAAGGTCGTTTGAGGTTGTGCATGGAATGCACTCGCCGAGTCCAATCCTAGACTCGACGAGTTGGTGCGGGTTGTTCAGTGATTGCGAACCAGAGGCTGAGTAACCGAGTTGGGTGAGTGACTCGGTGAGTCGGAAGAGATTCAGGGGGATCGGGTTCCCGTAGGGACTCGGCGAGTCCACGCCAGACTCGGCGAGTCGGCTCAACCGTTGACCGTTGACCAGGGTTGACTAGTTTGACTTTATAGTGTTAGTCAGCTAGAGTCAATGTGGTATTAAGTAGAGTTATGCTTGTGTTGTAGGAGGACGATAGCTCGGGAGATCGAGCACTAGTAGTTACGAGATTTACGAGTTACCGAGATACGCGGGGTGAGTCTTCTCACTATATATTACCTTGAGTAGGTATTTCGAGTTGACCAGAGGTTCTCATGTGCTATGTATGAGTTTATGTGTTGTCTTAGAGATTTCGTGCTATGTGTTATTTGTATGCTGCATGATTATATAGACCGGGCTGGAGGGCCCAACGATACTGACCGGGCTGGAGGGCCCAACGAGCTATGACTGGATCGGAGGGTCCGACGAGCTGCGGGACTGGAGGGTCCCACTGAGACATCTTTACCGGAGGGTCGGGTTTAGCCTTGAGTGGCGTATTTGTGATATGTGGTATTTTGGGGAACTCACTAAGCATTTATGCTTACAGTTGTTGTGTTTGCTGTCTCAAGTACCAGCGAGGACCGGGGGAAGGCGAAGGCTTGACTTGTACACACTTACACCGATGGAGTTTATGTTAGAGAGATCTTGGGATTTGTTTGAAAACACTGTTGTTATGTTTTTGAGATTATGATATGATATACATTTTGTGATTTAAAAATGAAAAATTAAATTGGAAATTTTACGTTGTTACAAGGCACTTCCTTGTTCCTCCGAACCTTGATCTTCCGATCCCTAATTACCACTGGTCTCTCCACATAGTTCAGGCCTGAATCCACCTGAATGTCCTCTAATGGTACCACTGCCGACTCGTCGGCTATACACTTCCTCAATTGCGACACATGAAAAGTGTCGTGAATCTGCCCCAACTCCGCAGGTAGATCCAAACGGTAGGCTACCATGCCTACCCTGAAAGGTCTAATATATCGAGGCCCCAAATTGCCCCTCTTCCTGAATCGGATCACTCCTTTCCAAGGAGAGACCTTTAAGAGTATGAGGTCACCAACCTGAAACTCGAGCTCGGACCGATGCCTGTCTGCATAACTCTTCTGGCGACTCTGAGCGGTCAACAATCTCTGCCTGACCTGCTGTATCTGCTCTGTCGTCTGAAGCACGATCTCCGTACTACCCATTACACGTTGCCCCACTTCTCCCCAACATATGGGGGTCCGACACCTCCTCCCATACAACAGCTCAAAGGGTGGCATACCAATGCTCGAATGATGGCGGTTGTTGTACGAAAACTCTGCCAAGGGTAAATATGTGTCCCAACTTCCGCCAAAATCCAAAACACATGCTCGGAGCAAATCCTCGAGTGTTTGAATCGTCCGCTCACTCTGCCCGTCCGTCTGTGGGTGGTATGCGGTACTGAAATGCAGCCTCGTACCCAACTCCTCGTGAAACTTCTTCCAAAATCAGGAGGTAAATCGTACGTCTCGATCTGAAACAATCAACATAGGAACCCCATGCCGCGATACCACCTCCCTCACATACAAATCTGC